ACACACACACACACACACACACACACACACACACACACACACACACACACACACCATCAACAGTACAATCATGGAAGTCGTGTGCCCCTTGGCAAAAGGGGAGGGGGGTGGAAGTTACCTCGCGTGGAAAGTTCCTGAACAGGGAAAGTTATTAACTTAATAATAATTTTAAAATTATGATTGTTAATAACATTTTAACGAAGGACGAGCGACGGCTAAAACCTGTTGGAGGTTACTCAGGGTCATGACCTTGACAACATATGTGAAGGTCAAGGTTTACCAAAATCTTTTTAAATTAATTTAATATATTGCGAAGAATATCACGTAATTATAGCGTTTCGTCCCAGCTGCACTACTAAACTCATCAGTAAGGTATTGTAGTGGAAGCCTACCTTATACGTCTGCAAGAGTTATTCAATCGAGAATCTATATAAAGAAATATACGCGTATCTCAGCATTTGTGAGAATTTGCGAATATTGATAGACCTCTGATGGCGAGTCGACGTAGCAGTATTCTTCGCAATATTTATCCAAAGTAATATATGTATTCCCCCCCCCCCCAACATTAATTAATTAACATAAAAAGCAACAAAAATTTTTTTTATTCTACAAAAATAAACTTTTTAAATAGTTCTAAACATTTTTATAAAAATATATATTTATAAACATAAGATCAGTGTTGTGCAAGGTACTCTATTTTCAATACCTAGGTACAGGTACAGGTACTCTAGAAAAAATGTACCGAGGTACAGGTACAGGTACTAAAAAAATAATATACCTAGGTACAGGTATTTTTAATGTACCTTAAATGTATTTTATAGGTACTTTTACTTTTAACATGAAAGCTCAGGATAAATTACACTTTGATGACAAAATGCAATTTCGACAGCTTGTTTGTTAAATATAATCTATATATTTCATGTATCTGTATGTAATTTAATTATTAAGTTATTATACATATATTTTATGTATACATACATAAATATTCTCTACACAAGTTTAATTTATAAAACCATTTTAGTTTTATCAGAATAATTCATTTATTAACATATACATATTGACATATGATAAATGAATGTAACAGGATACACATTTACTTATTATAAAAATGTAACACTTTAGTACCCTGCTATTATTAAAATGTTACTTATTAACACAGTATTTGAATGTGTAAATACCCAGTGAACAATAAGTCGTCTTTAAGACGCCTAAGAGACGTCATAAAATTCTGTAGGACGT